ATGTATGTATGTATGTATGTATGATTGAATGAGGAATGAAAGATTAAAGGTTGAGATGCCAACTTAAAAATCAGATTGTCTGGCTGAAGAAAGCAGTGGACGAGATAGGCTGATAACCCTGAGGGCATACTTGCCCCAAGGACAGGAGGGCCGAAGAACAAGATAACAACATGTTGTCATTCCGTCATTGCTGTGCCATCTTCATGATTGACTATCAGCTGAAATGAGAACGGTGATGGATTATCATTTCAAACATGAAAACAACGTGATGAAGCAAACCCTATAAACTTGTAGGAGGAGAAATCACTATAAGAACAGATCCTGAAGACTGAGGACTTTGGGTCTGATTCTGCAAACCAACCTCCAGGAGCATCGGATGCGCATCTCACAAGACCCTGCTCCACCCTCGTGTCCAGGCCACCTGGCCAGTGACTTGGCACGAGCAACTCCGAGGCTGGGAACTATAACAACTTTGCAGAACTTGTGTGTGTGAGTGAATGAGATGTGACAGCTATAACTGATTGCTTTCTCTGATTCTTTCTGTATTCACAATAAACGTGGCATTTTGCCTTATCCCCTTTAATAAGATCCTGCTGGTTTTTATTTTCTTGGTTTAACATTTTGGTGGAGAATTGCGAAAGGGGAATATTGGCATATGTCTTGGTTATTGTGAAAATTGGTGTGCACATCGCCAGCTCTAGAGAGCTTGGCACTTCTATCTTGACAACCAGACAAACGGTGAAGGATATAGGAGTTTGTCCACCCTCTAGGTCTTGAAGGATATATATATAGACAGGGGTAAATCAACCTCCTTGCCTTGAAGGATATGTATAGGCAGAGGTAAATATTATTCAGCTACAATTTCAGAATCCAGGCTGTGTCACTCACTGAACCGTGTCAGGGGTGACGGAAAGTTTGAAGTATCGGTGTTAGTCTTGATCTGTAAAAAGCAACAGAGTCCCGTGGCACCTTATAGACTAACAGCATAAGCTTTCGTGGGTGAATACCCACTTCGTCAGACGCATGTGAAAGTTTGAACAAGCTTTTAAAAAATGTCCAAGGAAAGGCAGGGTAAGCTGTTGCCTGAAGGGGAAGTCAAACTGGAGGTGGCCCCGACCTCACCTGTTAAGGAAATCACTCCTTTTAAACAGACCTTGTTCTGTTAACCCAAACTCTGAAACATATAGGAATTTGGGCAGATTAGGATTTTTTTGTGAGTGATATTGCAGTGATTTTACAATTTTGAAAGAAATGTCCAAGGAAAGGCAGCAGGAGGGGTGGGGGCTAGTTATGGAGCCCTCCCTCCTTCCTAAATTGGTAGTGGAACAAAGCCTGTGCCCATGGAAAGGGACGGTTCAGTGAGGAAAGCAGGATCGGGCCCAGACAAGCAGGCAGGCAGCAGATAATGAAATTAGAAAACAGGTTGGAAGCCCTGA